TGTTGAGGTCAACATTCAGGTATACACTAAGATAAATGTTTAAATAAACATTGAGGTGAACATTTAGATAAACATTGGTCATGACGCTGAATTTGTCATACTTTCACCGATTTGGTGGGATTACGGTAAATTACAAAAATGACAAGTTACCAGTTTGTCATTGTAAGCTACTGGTTGTTTTATCACGAACATTTTTGGCAACTACTGTACCATCAAAAATTTATGGCTAATTATCACTATAAAATTACGATTAACAATCCTGAGATTGCTTATTAACATTCTAAAAGGGTGGCCAAAATTAATCATAATTACAGAGCGGAAGCTGGACGTCGGCTAAACTTTTAAGAGTAAGGCACACTATGTTCTTTCATTCCATTTAAACCTAAGTAATAAAATTATGGCAACGAATTTGCAATCATAGTTAATAATTTTTATTGTCAGCTTTAAGTTTTCATACTGCACCAATTTTATCAAAATTAGAAAATTTCTATGGGTATTGCATTTATAATTTCGTACTTTTATATACTAACCATTTTTTAAATAATACATTTTCTTTCAAATGGATTACAAAATTAGTTATGAGTACCATTTTTAATTGTATTTTTTTTTCTTTTTGATGTAGTACCGTCAAGATGAATGAGTCCTCGAAAATAACTCATCGGACTTAATCCCTGAAAAAATCTAGTAGTGCGCGATTATAATTAAATTCATTTTACCTTAGTGGCATTCATTTAAATTAACAAAAGATTAATGGAAAAACAATGGATATTTATATATATAACAAAACGTACATATAAACATTTAAAATTTTTAAAAATTTAAAAGTTATAAAATAAAGCAAATATGAAATTAATAATTTTATTATTATTAATTTTTACATCACTGAAATATCCGACGACTCATGCAATACAAACTGAGCCGTTAGCGAGATTATGGAACGTACAAGATAATCAAATAGCTACGCATTTGCATAATCAGGTAGTGTTAGAGCAAGCGAATGAAATCCTCAGACCTATAATAGGTGAAGGTCATGTTGAGGGATCTAATCTTTTTACATTCCAATGCCATCTATAAGACATACTGATTCTATTTATAATGCACAGCTCCCTATTGTTTATTTCCAGCGTAGATTAAGTGTTGGCTCTCATTTATGTAAATCTGGCTACGGTACACATGTTACTTGCGGTAATATAAAAGCGATTGTGCGATTGATTTTGGCGCCAATGATCCTTATAGTGGCATGTACGTTATACAGGCTGAAAATGACGATAGAGATGTTGGAGGACCAGTATATTCTCATCATATGGATATAATTGGCGGTGATTTACGGACTTATAGAGCGGATTTAAAAGGTATAATCACAGGAGGTGTAGGGAATTTTGCCTTTGTTACAAGATTAGAAAGAATTCGTGCAGAGGCAAATGTAGATATTGTTACTTCTCAAGGTATACGTTAAATTATGTATGTTTTCGCATCATTGTTGATTGTATCACTAGGAAAAATCAACTGTTAAAGTTAGATTCTTAATTTTTTCTTTTAAAATAATTCCTTTAAAATTTTGTAATTTTAATCACGAGAATATAGTAACGTTGGAAGGATTAATCCAGTTTTTCGTTTAGAATATTATTTTAAAAATTCTGTACTTTATTTATGAAATTTGATGAAACATAAAT